ATCTTAAACAATGTCACTGCCTTAAATCCGTGGGTTTTAAATAATTTTTCAAAATTAAAAACAAAATTTAAAAGTTTCTATTTAGTAAGAAAATTTCATTTAATTTCTTTGAGTACACCTGATTTACGTTAAATAATATTAGTTTTCAAAAATTATTATTTATCATTTTTTCGTCACTCTCTGTTACCTTCTACAACTTTCTACATTAAATATCGCTGTTTCTAAAATTCTTCACTTTCCAACGATATATTATACGTATACCTTCTGACTAGTATTTCCGGAGATTCATTTTCGACCTGGATAAGCATTTTTTTTTTTCTCCTTTATTTAATGATCAAATTCTTTCCAATGTTATATTTAGAATTTTTTCGTAACTCTTAATAATGAGAGATAGTTAATTATTAAAAATAAACAATATTTTAGAGGAAGACGCACATGAACATTGGCCATTTAAGCCCTTTAAAGTGACATCAACCGAGTTTAATCAAAATCTTTAGAGCCGTTTTTGAGAAAATTGAAAAAATGTGTTTCACCTTTGATATAATGTGGCACTTTCGGTTAGCATATTTTAAGCAAAGTTGTTGTCACATCTAAGGCATATACCTATCTTAAATACACGATATCAGTTTCGTACTACTTTTCGTTTTTGAGCTAGACAGCTAACATACAAACACAAGGACACACAGACTATTCTTCGGAAATTGGTTATTTGGACTCAGCGTACCTCAAAACGTGTATTTCCATTGAAAATTTTTCACGATCGTAATATTCACCCTTACTATATATAACACATATATAGTAAGTGTATGGGGTAGGATTTATATAAAATAAAATAATATGCGTTAGTGAAAGTAAAAATATTAATTTGATTTTTTTAATGTTTAAATAAATATTTGTTATGAAAGTAGATGCTATTTGTTTCCCCCCTTCCTTTAATTTTGGCCAAGACTTTATATCAAGATATATATCTATCCGTATATATATCTATCTATCCGTTTTTATATATATATATATATATTCCTTCTTTTTCATTCACCTACTTATATATGTAATATATAGTAAGGATAAGTAATGCGATCGTGAAAATTTTTGAATCTGAGTTACGAAAAAACTCTGGCTAGTATTTCCGGAGATTCATTTTCGACCTGGATAAGCATTTTTATTTGTTTCTCCTCTATTCAATTATCAAATTCATTCAAAAGTTAAATTTAGTATTTTTTCGTAACTCAGATTCAAAAATTTTCACGATCGCATTACTTATCCTTACTATATATTACATATATAAGTAGGTGAATGAAAAAGAAGGAATATATATATATATATATAAAAACGGATAGATAGATATATATACGGATAGATATATATCTTGATATAAAGTCTTGGCCAAAATTAAAGGAAGGGGGGAAACAAATAGCATCTACTTTCATAACAAATATTTATTTAAACATTAAAAAAATCAAATTAATATTTTTACTTTCACTAACGCATATTATTTTATTTTATATAAATCCTACCCCATACACTTACTATATATGTGTTATATATAGTAAGGGTGAATATTACGATCGTGAAAAATTTTCAATGGAAATACACGTTTTGAGGTACGCTGAGTCCAAATAACCAATTTCCGAAGAATAGTCTGTGTGTCCTTGTGTTTGTATGTTAGCTGTCTAGCTCAAAAACGAAAAGTAGTACGAAACTGATATCGTGTATTTAAGATAGGTATATGCCTTAGATGTGACAACAACTTTGCTTAAAATATGCTAACCGAAAGTGCCACATTATATCAAAGGTGAAACACATTTTTTCAATTTTCTCAAAAACGGCTCTAAAGATTTTGATTAAACTCGGTTGATGTCACTTTAAAGGGCTTAAATGGCCAATGTTCATGTGCGTCTTCCTCTAAAATATTGTTTATTTTTAATAATTAACTATCTCTCATTATTAAGAGTTACGAAAAAATTCTAAATATAACATTGGAAAGAATTTGATCATTAAATAAAGGAGAAAAAAAAAAATGCTTATCCAGGTCGAAAATGAATCTCCGGAAATACTAGTCAGAAGGTATACGTATAAAATTTCGTTTGAAAGCGGAGAATTGTAGAAAAAAACAATATCTAATATAGTAAGTTGTAGAAGGTAACGGAGAGTGGCGAAGTGAATATAAATACTAATTTTTGAAAACTAATCCTATACAATATTTCTTAAAGGTTTTTATTTTGCCGGTACGCAATAACTTCGTCAATTCTTCATCAAAATCTAATGATTGACCATTCATTTTGTAGATATTCTTCTCCTTCAGATGTGAAAAATAGTCATATCCTCCTGAAATTTCCAACAAAAAAAAAGTTATGAAGAAAAGAAACTTTTTTCGTGCATAATTCAAAAGTATGCATTTTTCTGGATTGTACCCATGATAATTAAAAAGATTACTAAATTACTTGCAACAAAAAAAAAAATAATAAAATAAATCGGATAATTATGAACAAAGATATAGCCCATTAGTTTTGGTATACTTAATAATGTAACTCTTTAAAGGTATTGCATTTATGAGTAGAATAGTGGACTAAACTTTTTTTCCTGGCTGATATATTAACTTTATTATTTTTTATAGGCATTCGTTTGTTCTCACATTTTATTTATTTTAATAATTTAGAAAATCCCATGATTGGGGCACTATTTTGTTTTTATTACTTTTATTATCTTTCCAGTCAGCGTTTAAAAATATTTAATATTTAACTTAAATCACATATTTTCAACGAAATTAAGTGAAATTTACTAACTAAATGTAACTTTTTAAAGTATTTTTAGGTTGAATATATTTAAAATCCACCTATGACATTGTTAAAAAAATGATTTTATTGTACTTGTATGCAAGAAGAAGTAAAACATAAAATCATTTCATGGATGTATAAAGCATATATTTATAACCTTAAATACGTTTACTGTAGTTTAAGAATTCTAGATCTGATATTATATCTAAATAATTAGATATCAACGTCCGTTTATTCCGAAAAATCATCATGTCCGTTTAGTCCGTTTAATCATCAATCCATAATCAAAGGACCATACAATCCATAATCAACAAATGATATAATAAATAAAACTGTTGTTGGTTTAATGGTGTTTATGATTAGTTAGCTGTAATTTTTTAGCTTTAGTTCAGTTAAAAATGAAATTCCATACATATATTATCTACAATTACCAATTATTTGTAACTTTTTAGACAAAAGTTAGGCGGCCTTGGTCTTGGTCCAAGACCAACAACCCGTTCTTAATGTCGACGTCGACATGTTCAAAAACATATCTGTTCTGTCCTATCCTGCTAAGTACTATCCGTAAAATCCAACCGCTTCCGAAAGCCGGAAAAGAAATATACACTACAGAAATATTTTAATGCATACAACTATATTTACTTAGAATAAAGAGTAATGAGTAGGTAATAAATATATCTTCTATAAGCTTTGTCTTTAGAAAATCGAATTATTAGCAAATAAAGTAATCAATAGACGATGTTTGAAAATGCCTTCGGTTTTGATTCTGAAATATGAAATGAATGAATTTCTCTTTAGAGTTACCAGATATATAACTAATGCAAGTTTTCATATTATTGATATAATATTTTTTCTTTGATAAAAAAAAATATAATTTCAAAATCCAGACTTACAGCAGATTCTTCCCAACCAAAGGATATTTGGAAATGATTTTTGGATCAGATGAAAATAATTGTTTATTTTTTAAATTATTTATTTATTTTTATTATGGGTAAAATTTATTTTATTAGAAGAGTTTGTTTTTGAAAAGTATTTCCGAATGACCTATGATTATTTTTTTTTTACTGTCATATATATTTCTATGAATCATTTTAATTGGTTGTGTTATACCTAAGGAATTTACAAAGTATTGAGATGTTGGGAAAATGTTTGTTTACTATTTATTCAAACAACTTTAATTACGAAACATTTCCTCATATATTAATACATATCTCCTAAAATTCACAAGATTTTTTTTCTCTCTTTACATCATAATAATTATTATTTCTAGTACTTTTTGAATTCTCAGAAATATTTCTATAGGGATAAAAATTGTCCCTTGAAATGTTCTGCAGTTTGTTCAATAAGTACTCATGTTACAGCGGCATAGGAAGTGACTGTTTTGTGATTTATTTATGAAATCTTTGAAGCTATCTATATTTATATAATATATATATATATATATATATATATATATATATATATATATACATAAGAGTTTGGGCAGAAATTAAAAGATCCATAAATAATACGCGGATATATATATATATATATTATGAAGGAGTTTACTGAAGAAAAATCCTGGGTGTTATAGGCAGGGTGGACCCACGTTGAATCCTTTGATAATCCAACATATTTTAGAAAGAATATATGTCTTAGTCGATACTAATGGTGGATATATCTTTTCATGTTTATTCTTATGAACAATTTATCATTGTTCAATTAGCATAGATCTTTTATCCAATTGCTCAGATTAAAATCTGATTTAATATATTCCGAAGCATTTCCTTCATCATCATCGTCCTACCTGAACCGTATTTATTTATTTTATTTTTTGGTACTAAGGTACTGTTCTTACTTGAATTTTGTGATTTGCCCTCTAGCTAATAATTCATATTAGGAATACCTTTAGCCTTCGATGATTAAGTTATAATAAAATAGAATGACTTTTAAATTGTCCCATTTATGTTTTATTACGTATTAAAATAAATTACTATATCAATTCAATGAGCAGGGGGCGATATACAGTTCATCAATTTGTACGATAGTATTTTTTTAACTCAAAAGATCTTGAAGTATGTAAATTAAATGAAAACAAATATTATCTTGCTTCTTATAAATTATTTAGTTAAACTTATTTAAAATAATCTAAGAATGGAGGAAAGAGTTGTGGGTCCCCCACCACCACCGAAGAACTATCTATATATTGACTGCCGCCGAAGCTGAAGTATAGATTCATCCCCAGAAATGAAGGTAAGCCCAACAGTTCTCCTTTATCTGGTTAGAATTTCTTCTTTATAGGTTAAGATCCTTAAAGACTTTTTGTTCAATTTGTTCAGTATTCAGATAGTTTTGAAAACATTTTTACAAATCAAGTCTCGAAAAACCCAAGTCTTCTGTACTTTAAAAACATTTTTGTCAAATATTGTTGTTTTAACTTTATTTTGTTGTTCCCTTCAAATCATTATTTGTACGAATTACATATGGTAGTGAAATCAGCAAATACGATGGAGGAAATGGCAGTTATGGCAAGTTAAGGGAAGGACAGCCCAATTGTTGGCCCTTCCAGCTTTGATTCAGTACTTAAATTTGGGAGAGGATATCTTCTCCCATCCATCTCATTTACAGTGGACGCGTGTTCAGTCAAAGTGTTTCTTAAAATAAAATTAACCTGTAAGATCTTTAATATGTTTTTTTCTGTTACACAGATTCGTAATACGTTGGTAAAGCAAGAAAACTTTACATACCTACTTGTAGATATATTTATTTCATTATTAATCCAAATATTATTAGATCACATATATATGAAGTATATCTTGTGTCATGGGATATATAAGAATTATTTTCTGTTAAAGTTTTATGAAAGGAACAAATACAATTCTATTGATGATATATAAAGCCTACACTAATCCTGTTCCTGAAGAAAATAACATTTTGGTATCTAGAAAACTGCTTCTAAATTCTAATAAATCAGAAGTTGTAGCCTAAATTATATTAGTTTATGTTTTATAATATTATGAGTGAATACTTAATAGAAAATTATGTTCTGTTGCAGATTATTTTTGTAGGAGTTTGTTTTACCGCACTTGTGCATCAGTCCTTGTCAGGTAAGCATTACCCTTACCAAATGTCAAATACAAAGAAATAATAATAAATTTCATTTATGCTAAACGTATTCATAATTCACAGGATGGAGTAGCGGAGGCAGTGGTGGCTGGTCTAACGGTGGTGGTGGAGGAGGTGGAAAAAGTGGAGGTGGTGGAGGAGGAAGTGGTGGTGGTGGAGGAGGAGGTACACCAATTATTCAACCAGCCATTATTAAAATCATAACCCTTGGTGGAGGAGGTAGCGGAGGATGGTCGAGCGGAAGCAATGGAGGAGGGGGTGGCGGATGGTCGAGCGGAGGTAATGGAGGAGGAGGTGGTGGATGGTCAAGTGGAGGTAATGGAGGAGGAGGTGGTGGATGGTCAAGTGGAGGCAATGGAGGAGGAGGAGGTGGTGGATGGTCAAGTGGAGGCAATGGAGCAGGAAGTGGCGGTTGGTCAAGTGGAGGGAACGGAGGAGGAAGTGGTGGTTGGTCAAGTGGAGGCAGCAGCGGAGGAGATGAAAGTAAGAACATTATTTATTGTAAAATAAATATATAAAATTATGATATATAAAAGTATATAAATATATAAAATTGTACAGAGTGTTTCAGGATTAAGTGGACAAACAGCAAAGGACCTCGAGAAAAGAAAAAAAAATTGCTCTGAAGGTATGTCCGCAAACGCTTTGTTTAGGGGATAAACCTAAAGAATTTTGTTATTATGGATTATTTACGTTATATGAAATAAATAAAACATATTTATTTGTTCTAAATACTTTAATTATTAAATTTAAACATTAACCTTCATATTAAATGTTGTTCAAAGTGATTTACTTGATCATTAAGACAGCCTCGGCATCTTTCTTCAACAACATTAGTGGCAGAACGCCACTTCATAGGTATTATTGTTTCACAACATTCAATTATTCGTAAGGAATTAAGGTCATTGACCGGAATCGTATAGGCTTTTTGTTTAATATCGCCCCAAACAAAAAAATCCAGTGGCATCAGGTTTAGAAAACGTGCAGGCCAAGCCACTGGTCCTGCACGGTCAATCCATTGCTTGGTATATGGGATATGGAATATGATTACCAAGTCCGGTCAATGACCTTAATTCATTGAGAATGAGGATAATTGAATCTTGTGAAACAATAACACATATCCAATGCCGTTCTTCCGCTGCTGCTATTGAATAATGATGCCGAGCCTGTCCTTATACTCAAATCTCTTTGAACAACATTCAATAGTTAATGTTTACATTTAATTAATAAAATAATTAGAACTAATAAATAGGTTTTGTTTATTTCATATAACGTAAATAATTCATAACAACAAAAACCTTTAGGTTTGAATATCTCCATAACAAAGCGTTTGCGGACACCTTTAGAGGAAATTTGTTTCTTGTTTTGAGGTTCTTAGTTAATTTTTGCAGTTTGGCCACATAACTCTGAAATACCCTGTATATTATTATGCATTGGAAAGAGAATAATATATGTATGAATTCATTATAAGGTTAAATTTAATCGTTATATTTTATTATAATCATTTTAACCATATGATTTTAAAATTGAATTTAAATCTGACAGCTGATTGTTGGTATCTCCAACAGTTGTGAGTTGAAATATAGAGTTAAAAGAAATTAATATTTATACGTTAAATATACCTTAAAATACTGAAACATCATAAATGATGTATTATAGATAATATCAACCATTTTATAAAATTTTATCCTTTTGTTTCATTTGTGCCATAGCGATAAAGTAGCTTGATTGAAATTGAAAGTAAGTGAATATCCACATGGAATCTGACATATAAATACAATTATATATCGTAATTATTTATGTTTCAGGTGATTGGTGTTCATAGAGTGGCATCGCTTAAAACAGTCAAGGTGTTTCTTGTTTGATGTCACTTGTTTGGGAAAAGATCAGATTCTGTTAAAAATGTTGAAAATATTTCCATTTTCGTTATGTATAAATGTAAATTTTTTTAAATAAACATTTAAAAAAATAATAATAGAGATAATTGATATCATCCTTAAATGATTTACAAAAATCGATCATAATTATCTAATTTATCTTGGAGTAACGGATTGGCCACTTTTTTTTCAATATTTCATCGCTCTTAATTTAAACAATAATTAAAACACTACACCCAATTTATATATATATATCAATAAAATTTAATATTATCATACTAGCATATAATATAATGTAATCAACATTGTATAAGTTTATGAAATTTTAAATTTTTAGTGGTGCAATTCTTAGCTAGATTAATGGACAAGAGGGTTGACAAAAGAGTTGTACTATTATCAAATAATAAATAATAGTAATATATGAAATATCATTTATTATTACTTTAAGTAACAATATAATTGTGTTAATAAACAATAATATTTAAGTTAAAGACTAAATAAAGTAAAATACTAAAAAATTAACAGATAAATACACTAAATAAAAACTCTTGAAGAAGTCTCATTTTATAAAAATAGATTGATTAAATATATTAAACGAAATTTAGACATTTTTAAATATAAATAAATATTCTTCTCATATCTAGTTACTTACATATCTTATTAATATCAACTTTTTAAAACTAGTAAGAGCGATTTTATATCCTGTACTTTCTGACTACAGGATTACTGGGACAAACAGAACACAAAATATAACCATCGGTAAAAAATGGAAGAACCAAACGAATCTTCTTCAAAAACTAAAAAGCTAAAACTAAACTATTAAAAAAAAAAAAAAGAGAACTATTTGTAAGTACACTCAATATTACAAAATTGAGAAATGGTACCAATAAGGAATAGTTTTGCGACCTTTACCGATCACATAAATGATAATGAATTCGATATAAAAACGAGCTAAATACTAAATGCTAAATACTAAAACCAAAAATATTAATATAAAATAAAGTGGTGCGAGAACAACACATATTTTTATTCCGCAAAACATATCAAAAGCCTTAAAAGTTCACAATTTACAAATTTTCAAATGATTAAACAATCTTTGTTGGTGGTGATCATAGATAATAATGATCAATTAAAGAAACTAAACTATATTAAATACTGCAACAATGATGTAACACAATGGAAAAAATGTATGGTTAAAAAAACTCTAAGCCAAAGTTATTTGTGCTAGGAATTTGTGCTAACCACTTCACTCGAAATGGTAACAAAAAACCAAAATGTATTAAATGTGCCAGAGAGCATTTACAATGAGAATGTTCATACATATTACAAATATATTTGTACTGAAATTTTGTAACTTCCAAGAACAACATGAAACTATGAAAAATGTTCTAAATATATTAGGAATTAATAAATTCATCTAAGTAAACAACAATTGTCAATCAAGCCCATATATCCAAGCATTTTAAAAACCGATCAAAATGACTTTCAAGCTCTACCAAAGACTGATTCCAGTTCGATCGAAGAAAACATAAATTAAACAAAAAATTACAAACCATACCATTGTGGTAATCTCAAACAATACATCTAAATAAGCCTTTATAGCCTACTGGCAAATTGTAAATTTCAATTAATGAATATGTTTTTTTTTTTTTAAACTTATTTATTGAAAAATATTGCAATCTGTCTCTAGGACATTTATAATAGAGTTCACAAATCACATTCACACTCTATGTACAATAAATAAAATAAATTATCCAGAAAAATAATATGTATACAATAAATAAGAATAAAATAACCTAAAAATAAATAAATAAAAAGAACACATACACACCTATATACAATATTTAGAATTTGGCGAGAGAACTCCAAACCACACTTGTCTCTCCAACTGTGGAGGGAAAAGTATGACTCCAAGAGTTCCCTGCACTCCTCTCTCAACCGCGTCACTAAGGCTAAACCCGGTGGAGATTGAGCAATAGTGCTTTAGCCACATACACTCATATCATGAGTGGAGAATCTGGCCATTGCCAGAACTCCAATATTTACAAACTATAAAAGATCGCGGGGCCACTACCGTTTTAACCTCCTTGGAGGATTATATGGATGGGTGGTGCTAGATAGAGATTGTGCAAAGGGATTTGGATGATAGGTAAGGTTCTGGTGGAATTTGTAGAATTTTGCTGTTACAAAGTCGAGGACAAATGGGATATTAAGGTCGTGGTTTAGGGTTTTGTTGGATACATAGAAAGGAGCATTGACTATTGTTCGAAGGACTTTGGATTGGAAGGATTGGATGCGTTTGATGTTAGAAACTTTTGCTGTTCTTCACAGTTCAAGTCCGTAAGTCCAGATAGGTTTCAATATTATCTTGTAGATCAGTAACTTATTTTCAATGGAAAGTTTAGATTTTCTGTTTAGTAGCCGGTATAGTTGTCCGTATCGTCGGTTTAGTTCCTGTCTTTTAAGTCTAGTATGAGGGTTCCACGTTAGTCGTCTGTCTAAGAGAAAGCCAAGGTACCGGATTGTGTCTGAGAAAGGAAGCTGAATGGAATTAAAGTGTACTGATGGACAGGAACTGCGTCGGAGCGTGAAGGTGATGTGTTGGCATTTGGATTCGTTTACTTTAATACGCTATTTATTAAACCAGTGCTCAATCAGAGAGAGGTGTCTTTGAATGTTTAAGGATGCTATATCAGGATCTGAGTCGGATGATAGAATGGCGGTGTCATCAGCAAAAGTTGCCAGGAAGGTATCGGGATGGACAGGGATATCGGCGTTAAAGAGGATGTAAATGACGGGCCCCAATACGCTACCTTGAGGAACACCTGCCTCAATTCGAAAATTCACTACTGCAGCGAACTCGGAAGGTACGATCTGAGAGGTAGGAACGGAGGACAAGGTATAAGGACTGAGGAAGATGGGTTTTCAACTTGGAAAGAAGCCCGGCGTGTCATACCCGGTCGAAAGCTTGAGCTATGTCCAGAAATACACCCGAGCAATTAGGAATATGTTTTATGTTTAAATAATGAAGCTTCCTTCACATTAGTTTTTAAGCTTGTAAAAGAAAATTACTTCTTGTCAAAATGATTGCATTTTTTTTTTCATTTATTTATAAAGCCCTGAGCATATTGATTATCTATTTTATCATAAAATTATGTAGTTTGACATACATTTATTTTTATTTTCCTTTCTAGGTTTGGAAATAAAATCCAAGCATGGAAGTTGATGACCAAGGGTCTTATGCCTCTAAGCAAGAATAAATAAATGAATATTGAAAATTAATGTTATTTAAGATAAACTAAATGTTTAAATGACAACTAAATGAACAATTTTAAAATTTCTTTTAACCTTGACAATTTTTGTGAAATTTGGTTAAAAACTTTTATTGTACTGTAAGAGTAATTGAAGTTGGAATGCCAAAAAACCAGACATGAGATTTATTAATACTGATATCTATCAACATATCTATCGGTAGTGGATATTCTTCCAGGTCTGACAATCTTATATGTAAGAGTTGAGGATGCTTTACTACTGCAAACATTTATAGTTACTTGTTCATCTAAAAATAGTACATTATCATTTTAAAATAAAAAAAAATCGAATTTTGACAAAATAATCCAAAGCACAAACTGTGTGGTTTTTGAGAAAATATGAAGAAAGAGGAAGGAAAATAAATTTTATTCTGGGACATTTATTTTCCTAAGAATAATTATAATGAACAAAAATATGAAACTTGTCTGGAATTATAAAAAAATAAGAACAATTCCAGCAAACATAACATAAAAATCTAATCTAATAATTAAAATGAATTAAGAACGAGTAAACATATCGATTTTTACATAAATATAAATGAGTGTGTTCACATATTTGTGCTAATTAACAATATTGATGGTATATAAATAACAGTAACATAACAGTCATATGATAATGACAGCTCTTTGGTACGAAATTTTATTCTGGAGCATCTGGGGACTCCAAAGATGAATCGAGTGAAACAATTCTTTAATTTTTTCAATCCGATTTCAAGCCCAACAAGCAGTCTATTGGATACAAAGCAGCCGTGACCAAAGTGAGGAAACTAGGAGTTGGTAGGGGCATAGAATCAAGAAATCTTAGGAACTATTTTAGGGTAGCAATAGATTTTCGGATAATTTGGGAGACATGATTACTCCAGGACAGGTATTGATCAAAAATCACTACGAGATTTCTGACAGAAGTATGGAAACGAATAGGTAGTCTTAAATTAGTTAGTCCATTGAGGTAGAATAGATGAATGTATGGAATGGAATTAATAATACAATCAACCAATCCTTACGAAGCCTATCTACATCATAAAACTGAGAGAAAAGATATTACCATTAAGTGAAAAAAAAATATCATGACAGTATCATTTATCTGGTAAAAAATGGAGCTAGAAAATTTATTGTTTAGAAAAATGAAATATATATATATATATATATATATATATATATATATATATATATATATATATATATATATATATATATATATATATATATATATATATATATATATATATATATGATAAAAAGGTAAGAAATGTTTACTTGATGAGGCTGATCGACAGTTTTGTGGACAATACTTACGGTAATTATTGACATTTCTCTCTGGACACCTATTACATAATATATTTAAATAAACATCTACATTTTTATGATTTTATTTATCTTTCAAATTATGTGAATTCATAAACATAAAAAATTAACAATTTTGTAGTTGCGGCGAGTTTTCTTTAAGTTGCAATTTTATTATTTATGAATTTTCGATTTTTTTTTTAGACTATTTTATATATGACCGGAACATTACATAATATTTCGCTGATGTCATGTTCGTGAGAGGAGCAGAGATAAGCAGTGACCACCTTCTACTTGTGGCCAATAAAAAAATAATCATGGATAATTAAAGAAAAGCAAAGGTATTTAAGACCCTGAATATTTGGGAAAGACGTTGAAAATATCTGAAAGACATTAAAATCATGTATTCTGGTGGTTGCAAATGCAGTATGTGGGAAGAGAAGCGGAAAAAATATCTGGGAACGAGAAGCGGAATGACTGGTGGACCGAAGACCTTCAACGGATAGTTGCTCGAAAGATGCTTGCCTGGAAACCATACCTTCAAGATAGAAACGAGGAAAAGCTACAAAACTACCGAACAGCTAGGAATGAATGTAAGAGAGCCGTAAGCCAGTTCAAGAAACGCTCGAGGGAGGATTTCGGTAAAAATCTGAGTGAAGACCATCGTAAATCCATAAGAACTGGCGAAAAATTAAATTTTTAAGAGAAAAGAAAACAATCCCGTAGAAATGTAAAAGATAGCGATGGATCTCGGCTTACCGACAAAGAAAAGATCCTGAACAGATGAAAACAACGTTTTCAAGAACGATTGTCCCAAAATCCAGAAATACGTCACTTGTTGTACCCAAGAACCCAGAGCCCTCTACCCTAGAAAGCCTAGAGGTAACAGAAGAAGAAGAGATAGAATAAGCAATCCAGACTCTAAAAGCTGAAAAGGCACCGGGAAGACATATTATCGCTCCAAAATGTCTGAAATATGGTGGGCATGGACTCCTTAAAGCTCTTCTATGAAGTATATGATGGAAATAAAATTCCCAAGGACTGGAAATATAGCATAATCCTTCCAATTCATGAAAAGACACTTAAACGGACTGCAATAACCATAGACCTGCCAGTCTGCTCTCCGTGGTCTATAAATTGCTCTCCTCTATCTTAGAAAGGAGGCTCCGTTGGATCGTGTAGGGGCAGCTAGAAGGTGAACAGGCTGGTTTCCATCCTGCCCGGCAAACTCAGGACCACATCTTTGTTCTTAGGTCTATCGCTAAAAAGGATTGAGACAGAAACAAAAACATGTACCTGGCATTTCTTGATCCAGCGTTAAACTCAGTTCTAATGAAATAAATTTGGACCGCTTTGGTTGCCAAGGGCGTGCCGAAGATTGGATTGAGGCCGTAAAATCAACCTACTATAGAGCCACTAGAATGGTAAGGACACATGGCACAGAACCTTGCCCAATTGCGAGAAGAGTTATACAGAGAGATAGTTTAAGTCCTCTCCAGATTATAAACTTTATGAACGAGACCCATAAAATCTGCAACCGTCGGATTGCATGGACTGCAATTAGAAACTAAAATATGAGAACAGTCCTCGTACAGAGCTTTTTATAAGCAGATGGCATTGTCCTCATAGCCGATTCAAAGGTGAAACTACAGCAAGTAATATTAGAATGGGAACAAGAGCTGATGAGGAAAGGTATGCGAATAAATTCCTTCAAGAGTAAAGTGATGGTTATGGCGAGAGAAGAACAGGAAGACATCCAATTGGGTTGCAACGGAGACGTCCTTGAGGTAGTGAAGGATTAAACCTACTTAGGTACTGTCATTACTAACTCTGGTATAGAATATCCAAGGAAAATCCAGCATACTACTACCAGATCACTAGCAGTGTCCACAGCTGCCGTAAAGTGGATAAAAAGACCAAGATGCACGTCTATAAGTCAGTGTACCTGCCTATTCTCACCTACGGCGGAGAAAGCTGGACTATGTTGGACCAACACTACAGTCACATAACAGCAGCAGTAATATGATTATTACGAAGATCGGTGAGAAAAACTAGGAGGGATCGCATTAGAAACGAAACTATAAGAGAACATCTGGAAGTGCCTGAAATCAAAACTACTTTGGAGAACAGGCAACTTACGTGGTTTGGACATGTCTGCCCCATGAACGAGGAGATGGACCCTATGAAGGTATAAGAGGCTCGACCTAGAGGGAAGAGACCACGAGGGCGTCCCAGAGTTTCATATCAGGAGTTTATGCAGAGGATCGAAGGTAGAAGAGGCAAATTTTACAACCAGATGAAGCGGTTCAGCAGGGACCGGCAAGAGTGGGTACGCTGGATAGAGGCTCCTAGAAATGGCATTGTGAGGAACACAAGGAAGAAGAGGGGGATGACCATTTTTGGGGGGAGGCTTACGAAATGGTCCGTGGGTTACGTATTTTGTTTGTCGATTATTAATTTTGATGGCTAAAATTATAAGGTGAGATCCTGCGTGTGCTTTGAAACAAACGGCTAAAAATACTGACCCATAATATAATGAAATGTGTTTAATAAATTCACTAAACTAAATGTAACGATTTTTTTAGCGAACTGCTGGATCTATATTCAAGTATAATATTTTCATTATTTGGTGAAATCTCCTGAGTGTTTTGAAACAATTTGTGCTCAAAATATTACATATTTATATTATATACATTTATAAATTTATATTAAGTTATATAAATATTATATTAACGATTTTTTGAGCGAACAGGTTGCCCAATTTTTAGTTGGATAGCTTGTATTATTTGGCGCGAACCTGTGCGTGTTTTGAAATATTTTGAGCTAAAAGTGATGACACTGTATTTGATAAAGCGTGACACTATAATCGATCCGCCAAAAAAGATATGTAAGGAAATTTTGAGGGAACAGCTGAACCGACATATGTGCTTAAGGTTCTTAATTTTTCATTGAGTTCTCGTAAGTGTTTTGAAACGCTTAGAACTCAAAACACTGACAAATCATTGTATAAAATGTTTGTAGTCAGTCCGTTGAAAGGTATTTAAGTCCGATTTTAAAATTAAATGGTTCAAATGACAGTGAGATCTAGTGAATGAGCTAAAATGCTGATAAAAATATTTAATTATTCTCAATTTTGTATTGGTTTTATATCATATGGAATGATGTGATACATTTTATGTAAAATATTGATCACATGATTGAATATAAGGTGCTTATACTTAAAAAAATAAAAGGGTTAAAATAAAAAAAACTAACTACAGAAATCGGGAAATTCCATCCACCCTAAAGGAATGCACCTCCATATATACTTAAATACCTTGATAGATTTTTAGGAACATTGATATTTACTTATTTTTAGTCGCATTCAAGCCTTTCATTACACATAACAGTTCCTAGCAAATAGATTTAATTCCATGTTTCCGTGTATGTAAACATACGAAAGAGTCCTGATCTTCGTTCGGTTGGTAAGCATCCGATAACTACACCAAATTTATATATTTCCCTATTAATCTAACAAGATGTTTATGTCGAGATGGGAGTAAATTTACTAAGGGGTGGTAGAATTTTCCGATTTCCCAAGTTTTTTATTTCAATTTTTTTAAAATTTTGTATATAAAAATATCTATAAATC